TATATATATATATATATATATATATATATATATATATATACAAAAGTGTGTGTGTGTGCATACATATGTGTATATAAAAACATACAAATATGTATATATATATATATATATATATATATATATATATATATATATATATATATATATATATATATATATATATACATATACATATATATATATATATATATATATATATATATATATATATATATATATATATATATATATATATATATATATATATATATATATATATATATATATATATATATATATATATATATATATATATACATATATATATATATATATATATATATATATATATATATATATATATATATATATATATATATATATATATATATATATATATGTATATGTGTGTGTGTGTGTATAAATATATATATATATATATATATATATATATATATATATATATATATATATATATATATATACATATATACATCTATACAAATATATGTGTATGTATATATAAATATATATATGTATATATATATATATATATATATATATATATATATATACATATATATATATATATATAAATATATATATATATATATATATATATATATATATATATATATATATATATATATATATATATATATATACATGTATGCATATAAATATGTATATATATATATATATATATATATATATATATATATATATATATATATATATATATATATATATATATATACATGTATGCATATAAATATGTATATATATATATATATATATATATATATATATATATATATATATATATATATATATATATATATATATATATATATATATATATACATGTATGCATATAAATATGTATATATGTATATATATATATATATATATATATATATATATATATATATATATATATATATATATATATATATATATATATATACATGTATGCATATAAATATGTATATATATATATATATATATATATATATATATAT